ACAGTTGTGGAGGACCAGGTCTGAGGGTAGGGCAGTTGGGGGAAACCTGCAAGGGAGGGCTGTTGGGGGGATGGGCCAGGCCTGTAGGGGAGGGCAGTTGGGAGGACCAGGCCTGCAGGGGAAGGCAATTAGGGATGACCAGGCCAACAGGGGAGGGCAGTTAAGGGTAATCAGGCTGACTGGAGAGCAGTCAGGCATCCATCAGGCCAGCAGGGGAGTGGTTAGGGGTTGAACAGGCTGGCAGGCAGAAGGTTAGAGGCAATCAGGCAGAGGCAGGTGAGTGGTTGGGAGCCAGCAGTCCTGGATTGAAGAGGGGTCCCAGATTGGAGAGGATGCAGGCTGGGCTGAGGGACACCCCCCTCCCCCATGCACAAATTTTATGCACCAGGCCTCTAGTTCATTATAAGTTCTTAGTAGGAACTAGGGATTATAGAAAGAAAGAAAGGACATCTCAAGTACTAGCAGTTTGAAGTTCAAATAATGAAGGTGGAAAGGGAGGTAAACAAAATCCCCAAAAGCAACAGAAAAAGAGCAGTAATTGAAGTATACAGGTTTTCCATAAATCAGGCTTGCGTCAGTTGGATAGCCTGAATGCATTCATACATGAAGGTGCAGATGAACCACCTCGGAGGGGACACCTCTGAGTGTGTGTTTGCAGATGTGTTGGGGGAAGAGGGCTGGCAAAACCAGTGGTAAAATGCCCTTTAAGATGGAAAATGATCTGAGCATTTGAACGCAGAGCAACAATGTTCAAGAAAATGCTTAAAAATTCATATATAACTTTAACAGTGGTGACCTAACATAAGATGAATGTGTTTCAAAAATATGTACATGAACTCCAAATGGAATATAATAGATAACCCATTTAATAAGAAACTCAGTATCTACTAACATTATTATCTCCCTTTGTAACGATAGATTAATTAATCACTCACTTCTTATCTGAGGGAAGAAAATCAACCTTCTTGTAAAAGAAGAAATTTTAGGTTTTCTGTCAGCTTCAATCCATGTTAACCTTCACTTGAACTTTCAGAATAAAAATGATGCTTTTAAAGATCACCATGAAGTGACTTCTCACAATCTAGCAGTATTTCAGACCTCCCTATCCACTTATCTCAGCAATCCCACAGTCAGTAATGCAGCCCAGAAAGGGAAATGGGCCCTTGAGAGTCAAAAGGGATGTCTGCAAATTCACTCTTTATAGATCCAGAGCTTTACTGATTGGGACGCTTCCAATCCCCTCCAGAAACAAGTGTGAAACTTGGGCACTTCCAACCAACTGTTCCAACCAACCTTCCAAATCAACTGTTTCTCTCCCCCACTTACATGATTGAGTCCCCTGCGCCAAACCCTTAGCCAGCCACATTCTATATTGTTCTATCCAGTCCCTAATTACCCAGATAAAGGCCAATATCAAGGCCAATTAAGCAAGCTGTATTCCTCATGATGCACTTCTTACTTGCTTTATTCTATTTTGTATGACTGGGGTGAGGAGGAAGGAGACGCTTTCTTTGGAACAAGGCAGGAATTAAATAAATGCATACCTACCTGCATACATAACTACAAACAATTTTGAACTAGCAGGAGTAGACTGTCCTAAAATCTCATCCCTACAAAATACACACGCAGACATAAAAATCTGCCACCGTTCTGTTCAGCTACCGATTTTTAAGTCAACCGCTATATTTCTTTGTTATGAAATGGTCACTTATGGCAGTGGTAAGACCCCTAGGGCATCAGACATTAACCAACAGCTGTACACTGGAAAACATATGAAGCAAGCTGCTGTTTCACGCATGATAACTTCAGGTTATTCAGTCTCTTATGGACAGCTCCTAGTTGCACTGAGCTGCACTGAGTGTTAGGGCTGGATCTGGCCTGGGTTTATGTATCTGTAGGCTTGGGTCACAGGACAGGTAAAGGCCAGAGAGGGGTCACAGGAGCCAAAGGGCAGCATGAAGGTGCTGGGTGCCAGAGCCAACAGGAAAGTCTAGGAGGGAGCAGACCCTTCACAAGGGGATAACTACACCTTCTGCATGCTGTCTACCAACCTGCCTCCCCTCCCACTCCAAACACTCCTCAAACTCCACCTCTAAGCACAGATAACCATGACTGCCTGGACTTCACCCAATTAGCCTTCTAAATGAAGGCTTAAGACAAGAGACGGCCCATATTGTCCACTGTCTCTTTTGTTTTCTAATGTGTACCATAATTCCTTCATAGCAAATTAATACACTCTCACCAGCCAAAACAAGAATGCAGTTTCTTTCACATACTGACTGGCAATGACTTTGGTCAATCTTTCAAACCTCTGCCATTTTGACACATAAAAAATAGAAATTTTTTTTTCATTTGATTGCCTTAATTAATAGCAAGTTGAGTATATTTTCATAAACATACTTCCTTTTGGCAAATTACCTATTCATGCCCTTGTCCTTTTTTGTCAGGTGTTCTTTTTTTAGACGAATTTACAAAAGTTTTTGCATATAAGAATATAGTACTTAATCTGATGTTCAGGCTTATACTTACTCCATAGTCTTTTTTGACTATTCTCCTATTTACATGTATAATTTTTAAATGTTTTTCTGCTTGTTTGTTTGTTAATCATCACCCAAGGATGTTTTTCCATTGATCTTTTAGAGAGAGTGGAAGAGAAAGGGAAAAACAGAAAAACATTGATATGAGAAAAACACATCAATTGGTTGCCTCTTGCACGCACCCTGAGCAGGGGCCAGGCTGAGGAGAAATTAACCGGACCTTAACTGGATTTGGACCCAGGACCTTTTGGCTCACAGGCCAACACTGTCCACTGAGCCAAACCAGCTAGGGCTAAATGTTTTTATTAGAAAAGAAAAAAATTAAGTCAATGATCTAAATGTCTACCTTATGAAGCTAGAAAGAAATGAATGGATTAATTCAAAACGTATAAGAGAAAGAAAGTAATAAACTTAAGAACAGAAATTGATGAAATAAAAAACAAACAACAGAAAAAATAAACCAAGTCAAAAGTTGATTCTTTTTTTAATTTTTTTTTCTTTATTGATTAAGGTATTGCATATGTGTCCTTATGCTCCCATTGCCCCTCATCCTCTCCCCACTATCAAGCAGACCATCAAACCTTAGAGAAAAGGTAGGGGAGGGTGGGGGTAAGGGAGAGAGCAACCAAAGGACTTGTTTGCATGCATATGAGCCTAACCAATGGACACAGACAATAGGGGAGTGAGGGCATGAATGGGGTGGGGGTGGGGGGGCAATGGGATGATAAGGACACATATGTAATACCTTAATCAATAAAGAAAAAGAAGAAAAAGAAAAATAGATAAATTAGACTTTATTAAAATTTAAAACTCCTGCACATTGAAAGATCATTAATATAATATATACATAGATCAAATCATCTCATTGTATACTTTAAATATTTTACATATTGTTGATTATACCTCCAAGAAGCTGAAGAAAACTGTCATTAAGAAATGAATAGGCAAGCCACTAACTGAAAGAAAATTTTACAAAGATATAAGCAGAAAGATTTTTATGAGAAATAAGCTCAAAGGTTAAGGGATGTCAGTAACTTAGAAAAAGGTATAAAATTAATGGCAACTAAGTAGATCCTATGAGTTAAAAAAACACACACAAAAAAACAAACTGTAAGCCCAGCTGGTGTGGCTCAATACTGAGGGTCAACCCATGAACCAGGAAGTCACAGTTGGATTTGCGCATGTCTGGGTTTGGGGCTCGATCTCGAATAGAGGATGTGCAAGAGGCAGCCAATCAATGATTTTATCTCGTCATTGATATTTCTATCTCCCTTTCTCTCAGAAATCAATATATATATAAACTGTATATACAGCCGCTATGAGGACCAGCAGTTTTGACAAGAGGAGAAGGGATAGGACATTACAAGATGAAAGAACAGCAAACACAGAGAAAGGAAGTTGAAAGAAATACAATTTTACTGCAGAATAAGGCACAGCAAAGAACATATCCAATCCTCAGTAAATGTTTGCTGGATTGATATTAAATTAGACATAAGACTGGACAGACTAGTTGAGGACCAATCATATATGGCTTTTAATGACAAACTAAGGAATCCAGCATTTATTCTCCTCAGAATGGGGACCACTGAAGGTTGGGGCAGAAGAGCTCTCTGGTACTAACTGTGATTTAGAAAGAACACTAACATCTCAACCAGTGCTCTTGAATGCTCGGCTTATTAACGGGGTGAAATTTCGGTATAGTATTTATATTTTTTAACTAGTCTATCCTACATCTCCATTAACCAGCCCATTGTACAGAAAGCAGAAGGTTTTGCTTCAATGTCAAAACAATACTTCTGTATGACTCTACTCAAAGAACGAAATATTTGCAAATGCCCCATATTAGATAATTTCATCTTCTGGCCTGGATCCAAGCAAAGTTCATCTAGGGTCAACAGTGCTTCTACACTAATGATGACCTTAGGCAGACATGCTATCAGGACCATGTTAAAACTGAGAAACTGCTAACTACCTTCTTGTACTCTATCTAATGAAGACAACCCAAGTTCCATTTAATGTGCATTTCAAGACATTCCACAGCATAAGAAATCTTGTTTTATGCAATCTTGCTGTCATGAAGTGTAATTTTAAACACAGACCCTAAAACCCAATAAAGAAAAGCTATGCTTCATTTTCCAACCACGCAGTACCCATGCCTGTACTGTAACTAGTGAACCACAGAACTCGAATAAACTTTTTGAAAGTTGAAAAGAATCCAGGAACTCCTACAAAACATCATGAACATGGTCTGAGATGCTACAAGCACCTGTTTCCCATGTGTTCTAACCGCATCTTTTCCATGGAAATACGTACCAGCAAAAGCACCAGTGTCTTGGATGCAAAGCCCATTCCCCAAGGCTGCGATTAGGGAACTGGAGGGTAAAGGGGTGCTGCCTCCGCCCTCCGGTCCACTCCCACTCGCCCTCCATCCTCCCGCCCGCACCCCAGGCGCCGGGTACTCACAGCTCTGGTCTCATACAGAACCAGCTTCTGCACGGAGCTGATGATGGGGGCGGCGGCCACGGGCATGGCCCCCGCAAATAGGAGCCCCCACGACAGGGCACCAGGCCGCAGCCCAGATAGCCTCAGCCTCCGGATCGCCCCAAAAAGACCAGAGAGAAGACACCTCGGACCCTAGGCACCAGGTCCAGCCGGGATGATCACCTCCTGGGCACTAAAGATAAAAATAAATTTGCATTTGACAGGCTTCAGTCCCGAGTTTCCGGATCCCGATGCCCCACCTCCAGGCAAGCCCCGCCCCAGGACCAGCGGGGCGGGGTCGGAGGCTGCATCATAGAGAGGCTGCACCCTAGAGAGGCCGTACCATAGAGAGACCGTACCCTAGAGAGGCCGGGTTCCCAGGCCTGCGTGCTGCCGGGAGAGGGCGAGAAGGGCGCCATCTTTGGTGCGGGCGGAAGGGAAACAATGGGCGGAGACGGTGCCAAGTCCATTGAGTCCGTTGTCTGACTAACCTTTGGGAAAAGGGAAGGATTGCTCCTTTTGAAGCGCTTCCCCAAGTTGCAGACAGACCCATTCCCAAGTGGGTCTGTTTATTTTTTTCCCCTGTCTACTTCTGCCTTTATTTTCCTGGGAACCTGCTTTGGGAGGGTGCTTCGCTGATGTGGGTGTTTGCCCCTCGCATCTCTTTGTCGCCTGTTTTACCCGTATCGTCCAGCGGGTGTATGCTTCTAGGACTTTTTTTTAAATCACCTGAAGTTGGCAGTGTTGGGCTTGCCATCTATTTGTGCCTGAGGCTAACCATTTGTAAATTCTACACTTGGGCTGGGAGGGTCCAGCGGCCGCCGTGCAGTGCAGCGAACATAAATGGGCGATGCATGTATCCTCTCCTATAGTTGCGAAAAGCAGTGTACTGTAATTATGAACACAAATTTAGGTACAAAAGTGAATATTTAAAATAAATCACAGTGAACAGCATAGACTGATGAACAAGAGATAAGGAGCCATGGGTCAGACTGCTGGACCTCAAAAGGAGGGTGGGGATAAAAGGGAGAGATCAAAGGATTTATGTGCACACATAGGAGCCTAACCAGTGGTCAAGGACAATAGGGGAGGTGGGGGCATGAGTGAGGGGGGGGATTGGAATGGGGGGTTGAGGACAAATATGTGATACCTTAATCTATAAAAAAAAATTAATAAAAAAAAATTACAGCCCCACCGCCGATGCCCCGCCCCCAAGCCACCAAGCCCGGAGCTCAGGACCCTCCCCGTCCCCTCCCAAGCTTCCTTGCGCGCTGCGCCTCGGGGTTCCCCGGGCAACCGCTCAACAGATCCGAGAGGTCCCCGAGGCGGCTGTAGCCCACCAGTGGGGTCCGCTGGGGTCCGCTGCGGCCAGGTAAGTAGGGGTGGTAGTTCATCGACCCAATGCATTTTGGTACAGATTGAATGGCATCCCACCTCCTGCGGAGACCCCAGGCCAGTTCTTTTCTTGCAAAAGTAAACTTCGGAATCTCCACAAATCCCGCTTTTTAAAAAATTTTCCCCTTTCGGAGACAAATGTTTTCATTCAACAAACATTTACTGAGCACCTACTATGAGAGCAAAAGATGAATACTGGAGTGGCAGCTAATCTAGCCTAGGCAGAGTGCGAGATATTCCAGGAGTGGGGTCCCCATGTAACCCTCAGGACCCAGGGTTTTTCAACTGCTAAAATTGTAAGGGTGCTTTAAACATATATATATATTAAATTATAGTATAAACACATAATGTGATATTAGAAACTATATGACATTAGAGATAATATAAATTCAAAGATGAAAAATTACAAAACTTTTAAAACAAACAATCATTTTAAATTTTATTTCACAGTTTGGTACTCCTTTTATTAAGAACTAGTTAGGTGACCATGTCAGTGTTGGTATTTTGCATTGATTTGGATCTTTTAACTGGGGAAAAATATTTAGTTCTGTTCCATTTATAATGGAAACCAACTCTTCTGAAAATGAGTTAAATATTTGCACAATGTTTTTATTGAGGATAACAACTCTTAAAAAATCTGTTGAATTCTGGTTTTCAATCATTATATTATAAATAAGCATTTCTATTTGAACTTTGTCTTGGTTTGGTTCAGCCAAAAACAGATCCTGAGACAAAAATTTGAATTCAAATAGCTCCTATGTGGAATACTCCCCAAAACAACAGGGAAGTGAAGGAAGCTAATAAAGGGAATATTATCAAACAAATTTCTCTATGTGCTGAATTCACTGGAGAATTCACTTGGATGAGTGGATGTCTGTTATTTTCTTTTCTTTTTTTTAATGTATTTTATTGATTTTTTTCAGAGAGGAAGAGAGAGGGATAGAGAGTTAGAAACATCGATGAGAGAGAATCATCGATCAGCTGCCTACTGGGAATGTGCCCGCAACCAAGGTACATGCCCTTGACCGGAATCGAACCCGGGACCCTTTAGTCTGCAGGCCAACACTCTATCCACTGAGCCAAACCGGTTTCGGCATCAGTTATTTTCTCTTAAGGGGCAAAAGAGCTGGTGTATCCCTTCATCAACCCCCACCAGTCATTGTCTGATTGTTAATACCCTGGAACTTCCAGTCTGCCCTGTGCTCAGGCTGAATAGGTTTTGGCAGCCGAAAAGAACCGTTATGCAGTCACACATTGCCAGCCAGCAGTTGGAAGTTGGTCTGGCCTAGCATGTATGTCAAGTAGATATGAGCAGGGCAGTAATAATAACATCTGCTCTGTTCAACTTTTGCACCATTCATATCCACTTCTCCCCCATATTAAGTTCACACTATCTGTCACTGATTCTTCAACATGGTGTCTGGTCCCAATTTCTAAAAGAAATGGACTCACAAAAGTATGATTAGCAGGACAAACTACAGCATCCACTACTGCAATTAACCCTAAGCCTATGACCGATAATTTATCACTTCCGTCTAAATTTTCTTTACCCTTGACCAGCATGTCTGCTGGTTTAAATTGTTTTCCCAGTAGAGTAACCAGTCTTCATCTATCGAGTATAAACCCCTGGTTATTATGTCCTTGTCAGGTTGTGGTTGCTGCGGTTATCCATTTACTGGCTGTGGCAGCATCAAGAGGAGTCTCAGAGAATCCCCTGCATTCGCGACGTACACCTCCCTGTCCTAATTATGTAGCAGCAGCTCTACCTCCACCAGTGTAGCAACTCCTCAACAGGTATGTGGAGCCAAAGAGAATCAGGTGGCAGCAGCAATTTTAGGTTTAGTGGAACCTAATCAAGTGGGTCCCTTGGAGGAAGAAGCTCTCTCCTCAGTCAAAACCAGGGCTTCCAATCCAGCAGAGCCTCATGGTGAAGAAGGCTGGTGCAAATGTCAAGCACAGGGTGATAATGAGGGGAGTCACTCTTACCAAATGCTTGGTTCAAGATGAGACGTTCCTCATCTTGAAGCACAGTGTCTCAGTCCCACACAATCCCACACTGGTGCTTTAGCTGTACCTTTAAGAGGCCATTTTAACAATCTGTCAGAGCAGCAGCTTCTAGGTGAGGTAGTATGTAGGAGGACCAGTGGATTACTGTAAAGAGGCTCCTTTGATCCAAAGCAGTATAACAGAGGATCCCAGGATAAGTGCTACAAATCCAATCCACAGAAAGTGATGCTGGCCACAGCTCTGCAGGTAGGGAAGGCAAACCCATACCAGGAACACGTGTCACTTGCTGCCCTCTCCAAGGTGAAGGGGTCCTGTGTAACCAACAGTTTGTCACTGAATGGATGCTTCATATTGGGGCTCAGCCTGGTCTCTGCTGCAGATAGGAAAGACATTCCACAGAAGGACACATTCCTCAGAGTAGCCTGAGAGGGTGCCTTGTTGCTGAGCCCATGCATAGCCTCCATAGCCTCCATTGCCTCCATTCCTGCCACATGCTTACTTCATATCTGAGCCCACGAGGCAAGCACTGAGGTGACCAAGGACAAAGACTAGTTGGCATTTACTGGATAATCATCCTGACTACCTGGTTGGTGAGTGCCTTTTCTGAGATGGATGCTTTGTGAGAAAGCTCCACATATTTTGTGTTGTTTGTTTGTTTGTTTAGTTTTTTATGCAGTACTAGAGGCCCAGTGCATGAAAATTCATGCTCTGGAGAGGGGGTGGGAGGTCCCTCAGCCCAGCCTGCCTCCTCTCACAATCCAGGAGCCCTCTGGGGCTGGAGGTGATCCAGCGATCAGGGGAAGGCAACGCCCCAGCACACCTCTGTTGCTACCATTGCCGGCAGCGCAAGCTTCAGCTGGTCGGCCCTGGTTACCTAAGCCTCGGGTGGCCCTGGGCATCTCAGCAGCCAACATCTGAGGCTTGCCTGTACCTTGGGCCAGTTCTGGGTGGCTGGGCAGCTGACATCCCAAGCTTGCTTGTGCCTCGGACCGGCCGTAGGCAGCTGGGAGACTTAAGGGGATTGGGAGACTCCGGAGACAGGTGCATGGAGCAACCAGGCCCACTTGGGAGCGGGCCTGACCTTGTCACACACATGCCACCCTAGCAGGGCTGAGCGGGCTGGGTGCCGACATCTTTTTTTTTTTTTTTAATATGTTTTATTGATATTTTACAGAGAGGAAGAAAGAGGGATAGAGAGTTAGAAACATTGATGAGAGAGAATCAACGATCAGCTGCCTCCTGCACACCCTCTACTGGAGATGTGCCCGCAACCAAGGTACATGCCCTTAACTGGAATTGAACCCGGGACTCTTCAGTCCGCAAGCCAACGCTCTATCCACTGAGCCAAACCGGTTTCGGCATGGGTGCTGACATCTTATGGCTGTGGGCACCACCATCTTTGAGGGCATGGCAGTCAATTAGCATATTCACTCCTTATTGGTTGTGGGCACCACCATCTTTGCAATTGTGTAATGTTCAATTAACATATTCCTTCTTTATTAGATAGGATAACAAATTACCACAAATTTACCATTTTAAAACACGAATTTGCCAGCTGACATGGCTCAGTAGTTGAACATCAACCTATGAGCCAGGAGAGCAGGGTTCAATTCCCGGTCAGGACATATGCCTGGGTTGCAGGCTCAATCCCCCAACAAGGGGCATGTAGGAGGCAACTAATCAATGTTTCTCTCTCATCTCTGATGTTTCTCCCTCTTCCTTCCTCTCTGAAATAAAAATCTTGTTCATGAATGAAATTGGCACATAATTATGCTTTTTCATACTATTCTCTTGTTTAGGTATGGAGGTTATATGAAACCCATAATTTATGTAGGGAGTCTATACTTTACCTTTTTTCTGAAAGAGAGTCT